AAACGCCGTTTGTGAGCAATGGCACGCCTTTTAGCCACGACGTCGACTGTTGACATGTCAAGGTCACGGTGGAGAGCACTGTTTCTAATGTAATATGGTGCATTTACGATGTAACGTAGTACTTTATATTGAAAGCGCTGGATAGTTGCAATGTGTTTCTTGCTGGCACAACCCCAGAATTTTATGTCATAATTCCAAGCCGGCTTCAGTATTTGTTTATAGACCATTAGTTTATTATGAATTGCCAGTTTAGAGCGCCTGCCGATGAGGTGGTAAACTTTGTTTAGTTTTAGATCATGCTCTTCTCGTTTTTTCTTAATGTGCGCTTTCCAGCTCAGCTTGGCGTCGAGCGTAATGCCCAGGTATTTGGCTTCGTTGGCGTGTATAATTTTTGTGGCATCGATATGAATTGGAATATAGTTTTAATTTCTCAATGAGAAGACTATATGTACAGATTTTTCCTTATTTAGCTTGATTCTCTATTTTTTGCCCATGAAGCAATTTGGTTGACTGTGTGTTGTAAATTAGCCGTTGCGTCTTTTATATTGTTTTCGATTGCTAGAACCGCAGTATCATCTGCAAATGTTGCTGTAACTAGTTGGTTTGCAGAGGGTAAGTCGTGTACAGGAGATATAGAATGGGCCCAAGAACGCTCCCCTGCGGGACGCCTGCACTATCTTCTTTAGTGCTGAATGTGCATCTTCATATTTAACACTAAAGTGTCTGTCATTTAGATGTGATGATAGCAGCTCACAGTATTGTATAGGCAGTAATGACTTAAGTTTATAAAATAATCCTTCATGCCAAACCTTTTCGAAAACTTGTGATACATCTAAGAAGACGGCATAACACACTTTCTTCTCTTGCATCGCCGATTCAATGGCATTTACAACTATGTGTATTTGATTGATGGTTGAGTGGTTTTCTCTGAAGCCAAATTGATGATCAGGAATTAAGTGTTTTCTCTCGATTATTGGTAATAAACTCAGCGAATTTCTAAAAATATGGGTACATGTTTCAAACGGAGGCACGAATTAATTAAATCGCATAGTTAGATGATGCAGTTATTGGGTAAGTTTCGAAGATCTTCAGCCATTATCAAATCAAAATCAGAAGATTTTTTGAGTTTCATTTTTAAAATTTGTCCACTCACTTATTCCGTAGTGTCCGGAACAATTGCAGTGTCGCCTTTGGGCCAATGTGGACTTGACCCATTAACATCTTGCCCTTCATTTGGACTGAAGGTTTTCTCTAGGTGTTCAGCAAACAGATTCACCTTTTGAGTATTTGTTTTAGCCCACTGAGTTTCATTTATTTTCACTGGGGCAGACTGCAGCATTGGTCTGTTAAATGATTTAGCAACTTTCCACAGAGAGTATTCATTATTTTTGTCTGCCGTGAGGCCTATCAGAAAACTATTAAAGGTATTATTTTTGTATGATTTGATGGCTGTGTGTAATTTTTTTATTGTTTGGTTTAGTTGCGACTTAAGTAACGGACATCTAGTTGCTTGCCAACGTTTTTGCAGTTTTCGCTTCCGTAATAATTTTTGTGATGAAAGGTGGGTATTTTTTACTATGTAGAGTTTGGAGTTTTGATTTACTGTTCCACGCTGCTATCTGCAATTGCTGAGTAAAAAGAAGTACTGCGTCATCTAGTTGCTCACTGTTAACAATATGATCAGTATTGTGCAAATATACAAGGTGAAGCTGAAAATATTTCCAGTCGGATAATGTATTTGCTAACTTGGGTGTGTTCTGGTTTATTGTTGAATTTTGTGAAACTATCAGCAGCACTGGTGAATGGTCAGAGCTGAAGTCGAAGCCTTCTGAGATGGTTAGGCGAGATTGTGGAATGTTTTTGTAGATGAAGAAGTCGATTAGGTCTGGAACTTTGCTAGTATCCGACGGCCAGTACGTTGGTTTGCCAGTTGAAATTAAATTGCAAGCTGCGAGTTGCATGGCTTTGTACATTTCTCTTCCTTTTGTTGTAGTAAGTCTTGAGCCCCAAAACGTATTTTTTGCGTTGAAGTCTCCTACAATTATGTAATGGCCTTGAAACCGGTTAAAAAGAGATAAGTACTGTGCACACTTTAACCGATGCCTGGGAGGACTATATAATGCAGTTACGACCAGCGGCTGATTAATGGTTTCCACGAAAACAGTAGCTTGAAATTCAATTGTGCTAAATTGTTCTAGTAAGTGATGTTTTATCACATTTCTGATTATGACAGCGCTGCGACTCCTATCGCAATTATCGGGATGTATGGTATGGTATAAAGTACAGTTTTAAAACGTTACATGCGATTTTTTAGGAAAATAAGTTTCAGCGATTAGACCGATATCAATGTTTTCGCTATTAAATACGACTTCGAGTTCATTTTTATGTTTTGTTAAGCCATTCGCATTCCATAAGAATAGTTTCAAACGATTAGTTATAATCTAAAAATTGCATATTGTACTTTAGCACTCTCAGACGTTGTACAAGGGTTTTAAATACCTTTTCTTGTAGATTAAGTTTTGTTAAGATAATTGACAACGCGTTGTTGTTTTGTTAATCAGTACTTTGAATGGGTCCCTTTACAGTTTGGGCTAAGTGACTGTTCTAACACTAGTAGGTACAGCAATTTTGGATTTACTTTTTGTTACAGGAACTTGATTATTTTCGTCAGCCATAGTTTCGTCAGCTTTGTTTTTTAATTTTATTTTTTGTAATTCCTTAGCGACTATACAACCACGATAGTTCGCTGGATGCTATTCGCCATAGTTGCAGCATTTAGGTTTATCGGACACTGTTTTTTGGCACTCAGAAGTTAAAAGTTTGCCGGCGCATTTTTTAAATGAGTGGAGGTTTTCCACAGAAATTTTTTGTGTGACCGAACGCTAGACATTTTTTGCATTGAGGAATTAAGTTTGACGGTTTGATGGGTTCAATCTTTACAATTGTATTAAGAATACTTTTTATCTCATAGATTTTCTTCACATCTTCGGCTGAGTCAAATGACAAAAGAAACATATCAAGTGGTTCTTTAGTCTTTCATTTGAATTTGTTTATTGCACCGATTGCTTTTAAACCTTGTTTGTTTAAGTCGTTTATAATCGATTCTTGATCACACGAGTGGTGAAGATTTTTGACTATAACTTTTATTGGCCTAGTTTGCTTGTCTTCGTAGCTGAACCAGGAAATATTTTCGTGAGTTAAGAGTTTTGTAACAGATCTATAGTCAAAAGAGTCAAAAATAGATACTCTGTATGAACCATTATTTATGTCTCACAAAAAACTTGTTTTTTATAGTCGCAATAAGTTGCGTATGCAATTTTTTAAAATCATTTATGCCGTTGATAACAATAGGCGGCGGTCCAGCACTTTTATTAGGGGCAGCTTGTTCTTTTGGGCAAGTATTTGTTTCAACACTAGGTCTACTTTGAGCAGTTACTTCAGGAGAAGATTCGGCGTTACGTTTTTAGTTGGTCTTTTCTTTTTTAGATCCAGTCTGTCTTCCTGGCAAGTTCCTTCTCACCGGTTTCATATTTTACAATGTTATGAGTTGTTTCTATGATTTCTGGTACGTTTTTAAAAAATTTTAATTTTTTATTTTCACTTCTCAGTACAGTTAACTCATTGAATAATAATATATATATATAAATTTTCAAGCTTTTTGATTTTATTCTGAAGTTCTGTATTTTCCCTTTCAAGTTTGATCGTTTTTTCTTTATTTTCACTACCCGGAGGTGGGGTATTAGCATCAATCACATTGATTTCAAATTAATACTATTTTTATACTATATTATTTTTACTAATAAAATAAATATAAATTTAAATTTTTACCTTAAGATTTATAAATATTTTTAGCGTCCTTTCGCGTATTTATTTATTTAGCATTTTTTAATTATTTAGCTATATTATTACACAATAACACAATTTGTTTAGTTTTTATTGATTTATTTTCAGCACTTTTCTTGTAATTCAATTTAAGCTTAAAAGCTTTATTTGCTGTCTCTATCAGCTGTTTTTAAATGTGTGTGAATTTAAGGCAAAATAAACCACTTCAAAAACAAAACAATTCCTCAAAACCAAAAAATTCACTTTTTTACATAAAAACAATATAATTATATCAATATTTTACATATGTCGCGCACTATATTTTATAATTTTCTTGAGGAGTCACTGTCTCGGTTTTTAGTGATAATTTTATATTATTTTATACGTATTACACTTAGAAAAAACGTCAAAGTACACAGTGATATTTTTGCACGCGCACTTTATCATACGAGATCACTGTTGTAACGATACTTTTGCGGTTGACATTGGTTTATATGTTGAGAAGACTCCTGGCAAGACCGCGTGGCGCCCTGGGTTTCTCTTCTCCTTTCGTTAACGATGGATGCTCTGTGCTAAGAGATATAATAGTTTGGCTAAATGAGCCAAGTTAAAGAAAAAGATGATAATGTTGGGGATGCGTTTATCCTCAATTTTCTATAAATGGGTATTTGTATACCGAAATACCACCAAGTACATGTAACTTGTTGTATATTTGTATTTTTATATTTGTGAATATACCACCGAGCACATAAACCCGTTAGTATTTTGATGAAAAGAATAAATGAAAGATGAGTTTGATTCAAGTTTGTATCATCGAATCACTTTATTAAAGAATTGATTTATCTATATATACATTTTTCTTACAATAATTACTTATAATTACTTACTAAAACTTATCACGTGCAATAATTTACTGACCTAATTTAAAACAATAAATAATATCAAGCAAATTATTATTATTTATTTAATTTACGAAAATTAGACTAGAATAACTTATAAATTACTTATATTTCGCGAAGCCAAAAAAAGCGTGCACACTCTGCCAGTATCTAAGTAAGAAGAAGAAGAAAGAAAAAGCAAAAATGAAGCCAAAATCATTGATTGCCTGATGTTAAATATGCCACTGTCAAAAACTACTAAATGGGTGATGCCATATCGCCTGGTTGCTGTGCCAAATCTCAAACATCCTCCCCGGCTGGACGGATACGTTCAAGATGCTCCACAAGCCTGCATATATTTTGGATAGGTCGCATGCATTCGCCTGCTGAATGCTTGATCGTGACCACTCGTACCAAACCATCTTCGCCTGGGTGAAGTTTAATCACCCTGCCAAGCCGCCAATGTGTTGCTGGTAGATTCTCGTGCCGGATAACCACGACATCGCCTATGTTGATGTTGTCACCATTTTGATGCCATTTGGAACGTGGTTGCAAAGTTGAAAGATATTCATCATGCCATTGTCGCCAAAAATGCTGTTGCATTTGCCTTAATTGTCGCCAGTATGATAATTTGTTGCTAGGTACCTTGCCAATAAGTTCATCTGGCACTGCCAATAGAGATCTGCCAATTAGGAAATCTGCAGGTGATAGAGCCATCTTGTCGTCACAAGTGTCATGCAATGGTATAAGTGGACGTGAATTCAAGCAAGCCTCGATATGTACAAGTAGAGTATGTAGCTGATCATAGTAAGTCGAATGAGTGCCAACAATGCGTAGTAAGTGCTTCTTTGCTGACTTAACGGCAGCTTCCCATAGACCGCCTTGATGAGGTGCGTCAGGTGGTAGAAAATGCCATTTTGTGCCTCGATTTGCCAATTGCTGTTGAGAATATTTATTATGACAAGCCTGTAAGTCAGCGGTCATTAAGCGATCTGCGCCAATGAATGTAGTGGCATTGTCACTGTATAAATGATTACATGGACCACGCCGGTTTACGAAACGGGTGTATGTATTTATGAAAGCCTCAGAAGTGAGATCTTCAGTCAGTTCGATGTGCAATGCCTTGGTTACCATGCACTCAAAGATTGCCACGTAAGCCTTCCGCACGGTTCGTACAGCCTTGGAGCCAATGCGTATGTTGAATGGACCGCAATAGTCTAAGCCAGATCTTGCAAATGGTGGAAATGGGGTGACCCGAGCCTTTGGTAATGTCGCCATACGTTGTTTTAGCATTATGTGTTTATGCCGCCAACAAATCGCAAAATGCGTGCCTGTAGAATCCAATATTTGTGTCGAATTGTATGAAGCATAATTTGTATACCGCCATGAAGTGTGTCCTGATGCACCTGCCATATTAAAAGCCTGGCCAATGTGCTATCCTTCGGAAGAATGATTGGATGACGCTGTGGCTCTGCCACCCTCGCATTATGTAGGCGTCCGCCTACTAGCAATATATTGTCCACTGTGGAGTTGATGAATGGACTTAGTGCAATGAGCTTGCTGGATGTGGATATGGGCTGTGCCTTTTTCAGCTGCTTGATTTCCGCTGCGAAATATTTCGCTTGTTCTGCCTTGATGTGGTGATTTAAAGCAATGTCCATTTCGCCTGTACAGATGTGTGTATGCGAACGAAAACGATGATGTGCCTTTTTGCAACGCAATATGTATGCAGTAGTGCGCAATAGCTTGCCAAGATGACTGAACCGGTCCAACAGAGATATGACGACCAATTCGTCGCCAACAGTGTAGTGTGTCTGTAATGCGGGTTGACCTATTACCTGCAATGCCTTTACCTTAACTGGTTTTAACTCGCCTTCCATTATTGCCAGCTCTGCTGGTGCACAGTGGTGCAGCTCATTGATTGAATAATCAGTTGAATTAGGACCGTGCCACCATAATGCGTAGTTATGCAACGCCAAAGGGGATATGCCACGACTGGCGCAATCAGCTGGGTTGAGTTTGGTAGGAATGTGATGTCAATGCCTGATATCTGTCATCGATTGAATGCAGTCAACGCGATTAGCCACGTACTGCTTTAATTGTGATGTGTTTTTGCGTAGCCAACATAGAGCAATATTTGAGTCGGAGTATAGAGTGTATGGTACGTGCTCCAAATGCAAAGCCTGCCTTGTTTCGTGTAAAAGAGTAGCCAACAATTGCACAGCACAAAGTTCCAATCGGGGTACTGTTACCGAATGTAATGGTGCCACTTTAGTTTTTGATGCGATAATGTGACTAGTGATATTGCCACTAGCATCGCAGAAGCCGTGAAGTTGTATTTGATAACCGGGTTGCATGCCTATCCTACGCGGTATTCGCACTGCCTCCAGTTGGGACAGCTGCCTTCGGTATATGAGCCATTCTTGCAACAGTTCAAGTGGTGTTGGGTCGTCCCATGCCAATTTTGCCTGCTAGAGTTTCTGTATGAAAAGTTTAGCCGTAATGATGACTGGTGCCAACATGCCAATTGGATCATATAATTTTGCGGCATCGCTAAAGACTTAATGGAACTTACCGTCTGCCAAAACAGATGAGACATCGGCCGCTGGTTGAATCGCTATGCCAACAGAAGGTGTACTCTTAAGGTAGTCATCTACGTCTAGCTCGTAATTCATCTGAGAGTTTATAAGAATTGTCTCTGCCACATTGCTGCATAGCGCGAACAGCCAAATATGTGCCACTGGTTGTGCCATATGTAACGGTAGCCAATTGATATGTGCGAATGGGCTGATCGGATGATTCCCGCCAGAGGATCTGTTGCCACTGCCTGTGCCTCTCGTCAACCTTGACTTGCCTGAACATTTTCTCCACATCAGCTGTGAATGCTATTCGATGCTGCCTGAAGCGAAGCAAAAGGTTAAGTAATAAATCCTGTATTGGGGGGCCAGCGAGTTGTGTATCATTTAATGATATGCCATTCGATGTTTTTGCGGAAGCATTGAATACGACTCGGAATTTTGCCATGACTGCATGATGTGGAATGTAGTATGCCTGAGATGGGTCGCCTGAATTATGCTGAATAGGGTGCATGTGACCAAGTTGTTCGTATTCGCGCATAAAAGCCACATATCTTTGTCTCAGCTCTGAGTTGGATGCCAATTTTCGTTCCAACTGGTGAAATTGCCTGAGTGCCATCTGATGTGAATTGCCAAGTGGTGGAGCATCTGGTGTAAATGGTATTTGTACACAATAACTGCCATCATCAAAACGCTTATGTGTGCTCATGAAAATGCACTCGCAAAGATCAACTGCTGCTAGTTTATCGCCTTTAGCCATGTCAATTTCTTTGGATTCAAATAGCCTGTGTAGAAGGTCATCAACTCGCTCATCAGGCGCCTCCACACGCAATGCCATAGATTGTTCCGCCTTGTAGTTATGCACGGTTGCTTCAGCTGGTCCGAATACAACCCAGCCTAATTGCGTATTTTGTGCCACAGGATCATCAAGTACGCCACGAACGATGCCATCTGCCAACAATTGGCCCCATACGTCTGAGCCAAGCAATGCATCTATAACACCAGTTTCGCCAAATTTCGGGTCTGCCAAAGGCAAATTGCGTAAATGCTGCCAACAGTTTTCCATGATTGGAGCCACAGGGATTGCTGAGATAATTTTGTTGATGATGTAGAATTCAACATCCAAGCCTAATGAAGCATTGACAGTCGAAAATATGCGCAAGACTGCCCGGCCATTAGTATATGAGCGATTGCCACTGCCAACGCCTTGTATTTGCAATGCACTTTTCTGCTTCCGCAGAGCCAGTTGATTAAAATATCGCGTACTCATTAGACTTACCTGAGAGCCTGGATCGCATAGAGCTCGACACGAGTCGATATCGCCAAAGCCATTTAAGATGCGTATTTGTGCTGTTGCCAAGAGTATAACCCGATTGCCTATAGTAGCGAATGTCTGCATTGGATGGTGTAGTCACTGACGCACACGTGGTGGGATGCCAGCCTGGTTCAGCCTCTTGCAAAGGAGGAGTTTGCGCTGGTGAACTTCGGCATAGTAGAGTGTGATGCCTGCCATTGCATATGCGACAATTAGTTGAGCCACATGCCTGAGTAGAATGTCCAGGTTTCAAGCAATTGAAGCAAAGATTCGAGCCTTTAAGCAATGTGAAGCGCTCCGCTGGTGAGCAAGCCAATAGCCTGGTGCAGTTGCCTATTTGGTGCGATGCGTCATTGCAAAACTGGCAGTGGCCTGGAGTAGTTGCTATTAGGTTTGTCCTCATCAGACGTGAACCTGGCCTTTTATGATCAGCCTGAGATGTGCCACGATATTGTAGTGTAGCAGTCTTGCCATCAGATTTTGGTTTGCTCTCCATTGTTCGCCAAACAATGCCAACTAGACTGTGAGCTCGTGTCTCCAAAAATGCAAGCAAATCTGCCAAAGGAGGAATTTGATTAGTTGTGCGGCTCATGCCCCATGCCTGTTGCGTAATTGTTGGTAACTTGGCCACTATAATGGGTATCGCCAATGCATCCCATTGATCCACGGGTAGGTTCATTACCGCAAGCGCTCACAAGGACTCTCGCACTGTATCAACCACCGAGAGCAACGCAGATGTTGACTCAGCCTGTGGTGGGTTGAAGCCAATTAGCCTAGCCACGTGTATTTCAGCCAACTGTTTCGGATTGTCGTACCGAGCCTTCAGTGCAGCCCATCCCTCATCGTCCCCGCCACTGTACATGCCTCCGACAAGTGCCACTGCATCACCATGGACTGCCTCTCGCAGTTTGCCAAGCTTGTATGCCTCCGGAAACTCTTACGAATTCACCAATGTCTCGAATGCGTCCTTAAATGCCAGCCAATTGCGCATCGTGCCATCAAACTTAGGTACCGCCAATCGTTCCAACTTAATTGCCAAGCCTTGGGTATTTTGTGCATCACAGCAGGTCAACTCACGCCGCAATGCAACGCACGCCTCGTTATACAAATCCTCCACCTCGTCCCACAACTTGATGTGAGACAATAATTCAGTATCATCTCTTGCCAAAGCCACCAACTCACCATGTGCAGTTTGTAGTTTTTCGAAGTGTGCCTGCAATGTAGCACGATCTTGCTGCATGCCAAAGCCATCCTCAAGGTAGTCATCCGCCAGTATTTTTGCAGCTACCCGGTTTAATGATGACCACGCAGCCGTACGCCTATTTAAGGCAGCCATATTTTCTTCATATAAAGCCAAAAACGCAATTTAATTTTTAAATAAAAACCGAAACTCCCGGGTTTCGGCACCAACAAATGTATAAAAAAACAAACACAATTATTTCCACACACGCAAAAGTTCACACTCTGCCAGTAGCCAAGTAAGAAGAAGGAGAAAGAAAAAGCAAAAATGAAGCCAAAATCATTGATTGCCAGATGTTAAAAATGCCACTGTCAAAAACTACTAAATGGGTGATGCCATATCGCCTGGTTGCTGTGCCAAATCTCAAACAAACACTAATCAGCAAAAATATAACTTATTATTGTATTACAATTACGTTAAATGCGTTTTAGCATTGGTCAGCAAAAGACAAAATAAATTATTAATGTAATACTTAATAGATAATAATTCAATAATTTGACCGAATAGGCCAGATCTATACTACTTTGCTTTAATGAGTCAGGTTTTGGTGTAGTGAACCAGTAGACTGGATAAGCCAGCGTATTTGTCATTTTAAAAGTGAAATTCCAAGTCCTCGATCATATCAAATACGCGTTCTTTTGTACTGAATATGCTGGAGCATTTTGGTGTGTCGCACGGGTATATTTGCCGTTACTTTATATTTTGTACCATTTGTGTTATTTTTTGTGCTTCTTGTATACTTTTGCGTACTTTATGTTTTTCGAATATATTTGTTTTTCGCCGTGTTTTACGATTTCCTTACTTCACGCAGTTCTTCGGATAGAGAATATTTAAATTCTTTAACTTAAAAAAAAAATATTGTTAACAAAAAATATAATACAAAAATGATAAAATGCAATGTGACAAAATATAAGTGAGTAAATCTTTAGTGTAATTGATTAAAAGAATTTTAGTGATTTTGCATGAAGCCGATGTATAACTGTAATTTGTTTTCTTCGTTGGTGATTTCTTTATGTTTGGTTATAGAAAAATATAATTTATTAATGCTGTGATCTTTGTTTTGTATAAAAAATAAAAATAAACCAAATGAATATATCTCAGAAAAGTATTACTAGTGATATGTTTTGTTTGTCGTAACAAAAACGTAAACAGTGAGTGTTTTAGTTTCTGGATGTTTATATATATTTTTTTTATCCATGTTTATTAAATAATTGTGTAAAAGATCTATGTTTTTTAAATAAATGTGTTATTTATTGTTTAGTAAATGTTCAATTTATATTTCAAATTATAATATGAAAATAAAATTCATTTGTTTTTTCGTGAAATATTTTCAAGTTGTGTTTACATTTTTTTTTCTTTTCCGGTTTTTTTAGTCTAATATTGTCCAGTAATGTATTGACAGTCAAATGCTATCTTTCGCTTGTTATACGTGTGGTAGGAATTTGATATATAAATTTATATCGTCGAATCTCCCTCCTTCCTCGCAAAACAGAACTAAGATGGGACGTTCTATCTGTTAGCATGACTTCTTTTTAATTTCTCCGGACTCTTGTAGAAATCGTCTTGGTCTTTGATGTGGCGAATATTATCCTTTTGTTTAAGTATACCTATACCTCTTACTTGTTGCTAGCGATTTTGACTACTGTTTGGATCTCGCTATTACTGTTGTTATTGGTTCAGTAAACGACCGGTTGTGTTGTTGTTTATGACTAGTTGATTCAAAACTTCGACTATCGATAATATCCTCTCATATCGGCTTAGTAGGTAAGCGTCTCACTGTGTTCTGCAATAGCATCGTTGTGGATAATCATCTGCTCGGCGACCAACTATCACACAGCCTCGACTCACTTTATCCTGTTCTTTACGAAGTTCTTCGAATATATCAGCCAGTTTTGTTAATTCTGTTAAACTCGAAACGTCTCGACGTTTGATGTAAATTTGGTACTCTGAACGCATGCTTCAGTATATACGCTCCAATTGTGAATATTGGTTCATGCTTGTGTATCGCATTAGATTTTTAGTGTCCAGTAACTAATCCTTTAAACTTTCTTGTTTCTTCTGGCGTCGTCCTTGCACTTCGTTTTCTAATCTTTCGAAAAACCCAGATTCAAGTTGTGACGACATCACGTAAAAAGTTAGTCGATAAATATCTGCGCTTGTTTTACGTTGTAAAACAGCAATCATATTATTAGAAGAATTTAGATCGTAGCAATTACGGCGTTCTCCTTCAATACATTTAATAAAACAATTTGTGTAAATATCATTTTTATTCAGAAGAAACTTGGTAATGTAAAAACTACATTAAACAAAGTGTTGTACAGTTTTTTGCGTATACTTACTTACTTAGTTGGCTATTACAGACGTGTGTCGTCCTTGGCCGCGTCGAGTAGCCTCCGCCAGTCAGCCCGATTAGTTGCTTTCTGACGCCAGTTGGTAGTACCGAGCGCCCCCAAATCGTTGGTCACCTGGTCCTTCCACCCAAGATGCGGACGTCCTCTACCGCGTTTTCCACCTGCGGGTACCGAATCAAATACCTTTCTAGTCGGAGCACTTTCTTCCATTCGCACAACATGACTAAGCCAGCGTAGCCGCTGAATTTTTATGCGCTTAACTATGTTAATATCGCGGTATAGCTCATACAGCTCATCGTTCCATTTTAATCGATACTCGTCGCCAACGCGTAAGGAACCATAGATCTTCCGAAGAATTTTTCTCTCGAATGCTCCTAACGCCTTCTCATCACTGTTGGTAATTGTCCAAGCTTCTGCACCATACAGCACGACAGGCATGATAAGGTATTTGTAGAGCCTGATTTTTGTTTGTCGAGAGAGGGCTTTATTTCTCAATTGCTTACTTAGCCCGAAGTAATATTTGTTGGCAAGAGTAATTCTTCGTTGAATCTCTAGCCTGACGTCATTTTTGGTGTTTAAGCTGGTTCCTAAATAAACGAAGTCTTTCACAACTTCGAACTTATAATTGTCAACAGTGACGTAGGTCCCAAGACGCTCAGGAGATTTGTTTGTTGACAGAAAGTACTTTATTTTGTCCTAATTTACCACAAGACCCATTTGTTTTGCTTGTTTTTCTAAGTTGGAAAATGCCGCACTGACGACGCGGGTGTTCAGACCAATGATATCAATATCGTCGGAATACGCAAGCAGCATTACACTTTTTTAGAATATTGTGCCAGTACGGTTTAAATCTGCTGCTCGAATTATCGTTTCCAACATTAGGTTAAAGTAGTCACACGACAAGGAGTCACCCTGTCTGAAACCTCGTTTGGTATCAAACGGCTCAGAGATGTTCTTTCCAATTCTAACGGAGCTGGTGGTGTTGCTCAACGTCATTTTACATAGCCGTATAAGTTTTGCTGGGATACCAAATTCAGACATAGCGGCATAGAGTGTGCTTCTAGTCGTAGTGTCAAAAGCAGCTTTGAAGTCGACAAATAGGTGGTGTGTTTCGATTTGTTTTTCTTGAGTCTTCTCCAGGATTTGACGCACTGTGAGTATTTGGTCTAGAGTGGATTTGCCAGGTCTGAAGCCACACTGATAAGGTGCAATCAGTTGGTTGACGATTGGCTTCAATCTTTCACATAGTACGTTTGATAGAACCTTATATGCGATATTTAAAAGACTGATCCCGCGGTAGTTGGCGCAGTTTGCAGGATCACCTTTTTTGTGGATTGAGCAAAGCACACTTAAATTCCAATCGTTGGGCATGCATTCATCCGACCAAATGTTGCGAATTAGCTGTAGCATGCATTTTGATAGCTCTTCGCCAACAGCTTTAAACAGCTCAGCCGGTAAACCATCGGCGCCTACAGCTTTGTTGTTTTTGAGCCGCGTTATAACTGTTTTAACTTCATTATGATCGGGAGGCGGAACGATTATTTCATCGTCAACGATTGAAAATTCGGGATCATCTTCGCTTTCAGTCACATTGCTACTACCGCCATTTAATAGTTTCGGGAAGTGATCCCTCCAAATATTAAGCAGGCTTTGGACATCTATCACCAGATCACCGTTTTCATCTTTGCAGGAATTAGCTCCGGGTTTATAACCATTTGTCAGGCTTTTAAGTTTTTGATCGAATTTTCGAGCCATATTTTTGTCGTCTAGCTTCTCAAGCTCTTCGTACTCACGTCTTTCTGTTTCCTTCTTTTTTCGCCTGAAAAGACGTTTCTCTTCCCTTCTCTTTTGCCGATATCGCTCTTTAACAGCACGCGTCGCAACTGACCGCAGGATGGCTTGATATGCTGCGTCTTTCTCTGCGGTAGCATTGCGACACCCTTGGTCGTACCAGCTGTTTCTTTGTATACGGTGATAGCCGATCACCTCTTCTGCAGCAATACACATAGAGTTGGAGATGTGGTTCCATTGCGCGCATATATCGGCTTCTTCAGATGAATTTTCCAGATATTGGGAGAGTCGAGTAGC